TATATATATATATATATATATATAGGAATATATTCAAATACAAACGGTGCTTAAAATACAAACAGTGCGGATTCATCTAGATCGTTGGTTTTTGATATTGGATGTACAGGATTTGTTTTTGATTAATTATTGTAGCTGTTAATTGAGTTGCCGCGTGACATATTTTAAGGGGGGTATTTTTGAGATTTTGTATTTGGGTGAGCGGTTCAGTTGTAGTAGAAGTTTAGTAGCCAGTTCGAATTCCAACGAGTTTCTTGGTCTCTCTCTCACGTTTCAGTGTAGCTTCCGGAGCTCTCTTCCACGCCGTCGGTCGCCGTCTTCATCAGCAGCCGGATATGGTCGCCTGGGGGGATCGCGGTGGTGCCAAGCGCCGGGGAACACCGTCTGATGGCGTAGGTCGAGGTATGTTGGTCGCACTTTTCTCCGTTTGCGTTTTTTTTTTTTTTTTTTTTTTTTCGCTTGGTCGGGGGTGGGGTGTTATGCATGTGGGTTTCCAGACCAGTGTGGGGGGTGTTGTTGCTGGGGTGCTGGTTTGGGTGGTTCACGGCAGGGTGGGGCTGGGGTGGCCGGCACTGGTGGTATGGTTTTGTTTTCTGTTTGGTTTATTTATTTATAAAGTTTTTACGTTTTGGGGCTTAACCTGAGCGGAAATTAGGCCTCAATTTCGATTCCCCTGTTTTCCCGAGTGTGGTGGTTGCCTGAGGGGGGGGGGGGGTGTGGGTGGGGCGGTAATTGGACATTAATGAAGTAAGCTTTTCTTTCTTAATCTGTTATGGCATGTAGCAAAGAATCCTGATTCGTGAAAGGAAGCATGTTACCTTATCCTTGTGTTTGTAGAATTTTTATATTGTGAACTCTTATTACAGTGCTATTAAATTGAGTAATTGGGGGTTTGTGTGTGGAATTGTGTTGATCAAATAAGGTTTTCCATTTTTATATTGTGAACTCTTATTACAATGCTATTAAATTGAGTAATTGGGGGTTTGTGTGTGGAATTGTGTTGATCAAAGAAGGTTTTCCAATTCTATGGTTTGAGCCATAATGCGTGTGAAATGGTGCTGCTGAAGTTGATTGTCTATGTTGGCAGGTTGTTGATTGTGAGTATGTAACAAAAGTTAGGAATAAATGTTTGGGTGATTTGTCCTAGAACTCATTGTGTGTATTGATGTATTTAATTATTTATATCTTTTGTTTGAAGTTGATTGTATCAACAAAATTAAACATGATGCTTCTATTTTGCATGACAGCTACATTGCTTATAGTTATGAGGGTGTTAGAAAACAAGAAAATACAGTACCTAGTTTGAGGCCATGGAACATATCCATTATCTTGAGTTGTTATATTTGTTGAATGAGATAAATAAAATATGATTTGTGCAGTCTGCAAATTTTAAATAAAATATGGTTATGCCTTTTTTTTTTTCCTCTGGTGGGTGCACTGCTGACTGCAGATGTGTGCACTGCTGCTTGAGGGGTGAGGCGAAGTTCTGTGTTTATATGGCACGTAGTATGTGTCCTTTGTTGTCATTTTAATTTTTAGTTTGGAATGGGTGGTGGGTCATATGCTTGTTTGTGTTTGCTCTTTTTGCAACTAAAAAGTCTAGGTGCGCACAATCGGATGCGGGTCTTTCTGGAGTATCTGATGGCGATAGTGATTTTGTGTCGCCACCGCCTAGGGTGGTACATTCCAGGTTTCAGCAAGAGCCACCGCAGGAGGATGCTCCCGAGTATGAGCTGACCGTTGATGAGGATGCTTTGTATCCTAGGGCGAAAATGAGGGGATAAACTGTAGTATTGGTAAACGCCTTGAAGGATCTTAGCTTTCAACAGAAGGTTGACATTCGGGAGCTCGGGTTTGGGGCGTTGCTTGAGTTCAACATTGTGGACGTTCCACCGTGTCTCTTGCGGTGGTTGCTGTTTAATTTTGATTCGCAGTCAAGGTCATTTGATCTTGGGGGTGGGAGATCATTGGTTGTAGATGAGAGTGATGTCGAGTTGATTTTGGGGTTTCCACGGGGTCATGTTAAGATGGTTCCACGAGATAAGCTTAAGGTGAGCAACACCCTCAAACATTGGAGGGGTCTATTTCAGAAGCGGAAACACAAGGTGACTGCGGCGGAGATTAGTCAGAGGATGGTGGGTGCCGTTGATGGTGGACTCTGGTTTAAGCGCATTTCCTTGTGTTAGTCTTGTCGTCCCTGGTTTGTTGTATGTGTAACGGTTACTCGAACCAGATGTATTTTCATCATTTTGAAGATGTGTCGAGTGTCCGTGATCTAGACTGGTGCAAGCTTGTGGTCGACACTTTAGTTGAGATGCATGCTGCGTGGAGTTCTGGTCGGCATAAGGTTTTTCTTGGGCCGGCTGAGTTCATTATGGTATTGTTGCTATTCTTTTCTTGTGTTCTGTGTGTTGTTTTATTCGTTCCAACTAATATTGTAATATTTTATCATGTATTTCTTTTTGGTCTTTTTTTAGTTGCTTTATGTAGATCGGGTTGTGCATGGTGCCCGCGTTGTCCCTCGGTCTGTACCTGCTCTTTGTTGGTATTTTTTTAGTTGCTTTATGTAGATCGGGTTGTGCATGGTGCCTGCGTTGTCCCTCGGTCTGTACCAGCTCTTCGTGGGTGGTCGTCGCCCTCTACGTCAGCGTGAGTTCTTTGAGATTCGGAGTGGAGGGTTTGGCCTTGGTGGCATTGAGCCCGGATCAGGTGTGTGGTGGGGGGATGAAGGTGATAATATCCCGCCGGTTGAATATGGGCCCAGGGTATGGTTTTTTTTTTTTTTTTTTTTTATTATTATTTTTTTATTTTTATTTTTTAAGTGTGCACCGGTCTTGTGCTGCGGGTGCACCTGTCACTCAACGTGTCTTTGGGATTTTTGACCGCACTTATTCATTTTATTCATTTTTGTTGTCTTGTTTTTGTTGGGCTAGACATTTGGTGATGTTGTAATTCAAACAACAACGAAGATAGCGAGGGAGGTTTTAGAGTTGGTGAAACAAGGGCCGGATGGTGCTTTCAGTGATGACGTGCTTCGAGGGGTTTTTGATGCCATCAAATCGCTCCGATGATATGCCTCACAACCGTCCAAATGGAAATCCAACCCGGGTACCATTAGACCACATAGTCTTTGTACCTTATCTAATTTTATTTCTTAAATAAACTAGAAATTTCTCTATCCACAAGAACTCATTCAACAATAATAGTTGAACCAAGAGTATCTCGAGCAGAACACCTAAAGGACTAGTATACTTTTATGTTGATAATAATATGTAAACGGCAATTAGATAATTATCTTACGTAGCTACATTTAAAACTCATTATTAAAAATGTCAGTGTAGGGCATTAGAACATTGCGACACTCTTGACGCAGTCATGAAAAGATGTCGAGAAACTACAACAATGTTGCAATCAATCTTGCAAATTCAGAAAAGAAAGAAATTTCAAAAATAACTACCGTTGCAGCATTCATTGATCCTGTTTGCAAAAATACTTATTGTGCATCCTTTAAATATATTAGAACTAATATAAATTTACAATTCATTTCATTTTCTAGACTCAACATGCTTGGATTAAAGGTAAAATCATCACCAACATTAACAGTAAAAACACTTGGTATATATGATATAGTCACTGTTTAAAAAAGGTTTATGCACAAAGTGTGAAACTATTTAAGTGCATGCATTGTGGTGAAAAAGGCAGTAGTGGGTACTCCAAGGTTATGTTAGTATCAATTCAATTCAAAAAAACACACACACACACACACACACACACACACACACACACACACAAAATCAAGTATTATACTCATTGATACTAATTCCAAAAACATGAACTTCAAAATGAACATGTGCAAAATAGATGTGGAAATCGTTAATGAAACTAGACGCATTGTGGCATCAGTATTTAGACTACTTGCAGAGTTATTGTTGTTACAATCAAATAAACAAATTATGGAACTATAACAAGAAGTACTACTTATGAAAATTCTATAAATATACTAAATATTAATATTTTGTTCAATATTTTCACATGAGAATCTACAACAGACATCTCACAAAAATATCAACATGCGCTTTCTACACCATATATAATCTTGTTGCATGACAATGCCCTATGCTACCACCAGTAGCCCAATTCACATGGCACACTACCAATAAAAAAGAAGATGACATGTACTGAAAATGAAGACAATGACAATGTTATCCAAAAGAGAATTACGATGACTTAGACTATATATCGTTTATGATGAAACAATTTATCAAATGAGTCCATGATGAAATTCAAACCAAAAGTAGTATTTATTTAGACTATATACCGTTTTTAGACTAAGTATTTAGACTAGCGTTTTTACAAAATTGCAAACATTTATTTTAATGACAATTATAATCAATCTCTTCTATATTATCTTGCATTCATATACTTTGTACCGATTTAAATAAATAAATTCAACATTTAATTACATATGCATGAATATCTCCTATATAATCTTGCATTGATATACTTTGAAGTACTTATTTAAAAATAAACATTGAACATTATCTCATTCGCGCAATGCGCGTGAAAAACTAGTGTATATATATATATATATATATATATATATATATATATATATATATAAACTAATTGGAGTCGTCTATTTGAAAAGATCAACGGATCATAAGAAATTTAGGAAAAGAAAAAAAAACATGGTGAAATTTTTGTTAAAGACATGAACTTTGAAGTGCAAGCTAGTAACATGTGTCTAAAGTACACGTAACAATTTTAGTAGAGCCACAAAAGTACCATGTGAGTACAAGATGCTTAACATATAAGTAATTTATTTAATTGAATTGTACACATTATTAATATAATATTGTTATATTACATTATTAATGGAACAGTACAGTGGAACAATAACAACACTGCAACAATACATTCAGAAAATTAAACCATGCAAAGTGGCATCACCACACAGTCCTCAATGCACACAGTGATACCAAGATAATTAATGTTTAAAAAAAAAAAAAAAACTGGAATAAGCTTACTGCAAGAAGGATTTTCTTGATTTATTTAATTCACTAAGAACATCACGAATATTCATTCTGTCGGCTGGAGATTCTGTAGAACAAGCAATCCCAATTTTGATCACAGAAACAAAGCACACCTGAAAGTTATCATTCTTCCAAAGTGATTTGCCTTTGTTCTTGATTTTAATTTGTTCGTCTTTTTCTTGAAGAATTAGTGGATCTGCAATCTCCATCTCTCTGTTTGCTAAAGCAACCTTAGCGTAGGTATGAAGGTTCAAGCCATCTTTGAATAATTCATCTGTGGGCCTCCTCCCAGTGAGCATTTCCAAGATTAGTATGCCAAAGCTGTATACATCACCTGATTTTGATGGCTTAGTCCCAATACCATATTCTGCTCAAAAATTTAATAAGTGTCATCAAAATGCAGGTTAGATGAGTATATGCATTCAGGGGTGGATCCAAGAATATTTCTGAGGGACAAATTAAAGTTCAAATGAATTTAAAAAGAGTTAATCAACAATTTGGTCCATCAATTATTACCAAACTGTCAATGTAGTCCCCCAATTGCTTAATCATCAATTTAGTCCCCAAAAATAATTATATTTAGTCAATTTAGTCCTTCCGGCCGTCTTTTATCGATGGCCGGAGGGACTAAATCGACTAAAAATAATTATTTTCGGGGATCAAATCGACGGCCGGAGAAACTAAATTGACTAAAAGTAATTGTTTTCGGGAACTAAATCAATGATTAAGCAATTGAAGGACTACATTCACAGTTTGGTAATAATTGAGGAACCAAATCATTGATTAACTCATTTAAAAATATCTATGATAAAATATCAAAATTTGATATAAATCACAAATAATATATTCTCCAACCCTTGGGAGATGGGTATAAAACAAAAACTAGAAGCTAAAATAGAGGGAAGTGTTGTTGGTGGGGCGCATGACATATATATGGTCTCAAATTTTAGAAAATAGCCAACTAAGCTATCTAACAATCGTTATTACAGTACAACAGGGCGCACATTCCTTTCAAAACGATGTCGTTTTATATTCTGTTGTCAAATTATGTGTTTTTAAGTATAAAATTCTATACATTTGAAATAGGGGATTTTTATATTTTAAAAAAAAGATTATGTGTTTTCAGGTATAAAATTATGTGTTTTCTATTATATATATAATTTTGTACATTCGAAACATGAGAATTTTCAGTTATAAAATTCTGTGTTTTCAAGTATAAAATTATGTATTTTCTATTATATAATGAGTTAATACCCAAAATCGTCCTCGACTATAGTGGTTTTTCTCAATTTCGTCCTAAACGACTTTGGTGACCTAATATCGTCCCAGACTTTTGTGTTTCGCTCAATTTAGTCCCAGACTTTTGTGTTTTTGCTCAATTTAGTCCCTCATTTGTTATTCTGTCCATTTGGTGTTAAATAAATAGACAATTCAGTAATTTTAATATTGGCATCTCTTTACTCATAGACATGTGAACTGCGAAATCCTTTTTTTTTACGAATTACTCCCAGAATTACTCCTAAAACTGCGAATATAAAATTTGATTTGCAGGTCCGGGAGTAATTTTTGGTGTAATTCATACAAGAAAGAGGAATTTCGCACTTTACAAGTTGAAAGTAAAGAGAGATCAATATTGACATTACTGAATTGTCCCTTTATTTAACACCAATTTGACGGAATAACAAATTGAGGACTAAATTGAGCGAAACACAAAAGTCTAGGACGATATTAGGTCACTAAAGTCGTTTAGGACGAAATTGAGAAAAATCACTATAGTCAAGGACGATTTTGGGTATTAACTCATTATATAATTCTGTACATTCGAAACATGAGATTTTCAGTTATAAAAATTATGAGTTTTCAGGTATAAAATTATGTGTTTTCACGTATAAAATTATGTGTTTTCAGGTATAAACTTCTGTGTTTTCTATTATACAATTCTGTACATTCGAAGCATGAATTTTTTTTAAGGAATTAACAGCAAACACGCGAAAAAAAAAAGTCAAAACGAAGTAGTTTTGGGCCAGGACACACAATGCATTGTGTGCCCTGGTGCACGGTATAATTTGCCGCTACCTAAACATCAATTAAGTAATATATATATATATATATATATATATATATATATATATATAAAGCAGGGTAACTGTCCCATTGCCCCTTCTCTGAATATAATCCACCCCTATATGCATTTAACGGCAAAATGATAAGCTAATAAGTACTGGCTAGTCAGTCATGTTTATTATAATACTTATCATGTGTAATTGTGTATATACCTGGTGGAGTATAACCTATAGTCCCTCGTACTCCTATAGAAGTATTGTTTTCTGAAGAGCTTTGAACCCTTTGTTGTACAAATCTTGCTAATCCAAAATCACTAATTTGTGCAGTCATGTTTTCGTCAAGGAGAACATTGCTTGGCTTGAGATCACAGTGAATTATTGCAGATTCGCAATCATTATGAAGATAATCTAAAGCGCAAGCCACATCAATGAGAATGTTTATCCTTTGAACAAAACTTAACCTCCTATTATCTTCCAATAATTCACTTCCAGAATTCACTTGTGAACTAAAATGCAACCAGCTTTCAAGGTTCCCATTATCCATGTATTTGTAAATCAAAGCCTTGAAATCATTTCCTTGAAGATCAACCCCTGAACACGCGGTTAGAAGCTTGACAAGATTGCGGTGTCTGATGTTTTTCAACACCTCACACTCAGCTATAAAACTTCGAGAAGCTCCATGGTGCAAAAGATCAAGTACCTTGACTACAAATATAGTTCCATCATGATCAAAAGATCCTTTATATACAGTTCCGAAACCGCCAACTCCTAGTAAATTTTCTGAAGAGAATCCATTAGTGGACTTGAGGAGAGTCTGATAAGACACCCTTAAGGTAGAGTAGTCTAGCAAATCTGGAATGGCGGGTTTGTTTCTTTGGCTTCTTAACCGTTTAAGGTAAAGAAGAAACACTGCCAAACTCAGCCCAAGAATCCCAAAAATCAAAGGAATTACTATTTTCAAATAAGCTTTTGATTTCCTTTTTTTGGACTTTGTAGCACCACATTCATGGAGGTTGAGCTCTAGTATACCCCCACAGAGCTTTCTATTTCCGGTGATTGAAAAGGAGCCTGTGTCATTGAAGATTCCTATGGTTGGGACTGCACCATCAAAATCATTGTATGAAAGATTCAAATTTCTTAAGAATTTGAAGTCCTTCAAAAAAGTGGGGAATTCACCGGTCAAATTGTTGTGAGAAAGTTCTAAGAATTGAAGCCCCTTCAAATTTGCCATAGTTGATGGAATAGTCCCTTGAAGGTTGTTGTTTGTTAGATTCAGCATTTCCAAGTACACACAACTACCAAGCTCCATGGGAATATGGCTAGACAATGAATTGTAGGACAGATCCAAGTAACCTAGATTTATCAATTCTCCAACATCTTTTTGAATGGAACCAATGAATTGGTTGTGAGAGAGATCCATTCTCAATGATATTGATGAAAGTTGAAAAACTTCCTTTGGGATGTAACCACTAAGGTTGTTCCAACTAAGATCCAGAAGCAACAAATTCATGCATTTTCCGAGACTTGTAGGAATAGATTCTTGGAGATAGTTTTCTCCTAAATCGAGTTCGTTTAAGAGAGTTAAATTCCCAATTGAAGACGGAATTTCCCCTGAGAAACTGTTTCCAAATAACGACAAGGCTTGTAGATTAGTAAGAAACCCAATCTCATTTGGGATCTCCCCACTGAATTTGTTGTAAGCCAAATATATACCTTGCAAGTTGATGAGATTAGAAATCCCCTTTGGGATGTTTCCAACAACTTGATTGCTTGCAAGGCTAAATCTTATAAGGCTTTTTGATAGGTTACTAATGGATTCAGGCAATAAACCTCCAAAATTATTTGGACCAAGCCCCAAAGTCTCTAAGTTGGTGGAATTGACTAATGAAGAAAGAAAGTTGAGGTCATCACCCTTGCTTTCCCCAAGATAATTAAATGAAACTATAAACCTCTGAAGTTGATGCAAGTTTCCAAGGTCAGGTACTTTTCCTATTAGTCCATTAAGACCAATGGCAAAGTATTGAAGATTTGTAGCATTTGATAATGAGTAAGGAATATTTCCCGAGAAATTGTTGTCACTTATTCTAAAAGTGGAAAGGCGAGGAAGAGTGATGAAGAGGTTGGATGGCAAAGTCCCTTCTATGGAATTGATCCCTACATCCACAAGCACCAAGGATGATTGATTGAATAGAGAAGAGGGTATGGTACCAGTCAAATAATTTTGACCAACACTAAAGTATTGTAGTCTTGGTAATCTACATAGAGAATCCGGTATTTCTCTTGACAAGTTGTTGAAGGAGACAACAAAACCATAAAGCAAAGAAAGATTTCCAAGTGAATGAGGGATTTTACCAATAAGGTTGTTGTGCCAAAAACTAATGATTTGGAGATTAGTTAGTGCACCAAGCTCTTCGGGAATGTTGCCTTCAAGGTCGTTGTATGAGAAATCTACAACTTTCAAGTTTTTGCAAGCAGAAATGTTTGAAGGAATAAACCCACTGAGAGAGTTATTGTTCAAACGCAAAATTTGCAGTCTATGCAAATGACCCATTTGTTGTGGGATTTCACCTGAGAAGCTATTGTTTCGGAGGTCCAAATTTCGAAGAAAACTTAGGTTCCCAATGTGCATAGGCACTAATCCCACCAACTTCAGGGAGCTGAGGTTTATGGATGTAACTCTTTGGTGGCGGCGACCGCAAGAAACACCAGGCCATTCACAAAAATGAATGGTTTCATTCCACAAGTAGGTCACAACACCAAATGGATCATCTTTGATCGTTTTCTTGAATTCAAGAAGAGAAATAATATCCGTCTCATTCCCTTGAAGCTTGGAGGCAGATGAGATCAGGGGAAGTCTTAGAAAAAAGAAGCTCAAAAAACACATAAATGTGAGAAGCTTAGTAGAAAAGAAAAGAAGAGTTGGGAAAGCCATCATGCATATATCATATCAGTGAAGTAGTGGTGTGCCAAATATGGAAGATGTTATTATATTTAAGAATTATTGGAAGGGCATAATCGGAATGCCACAATACAGATATTCCTTATAAGACAAAAGCTTTACAATCGGAGATCGAGACCAATCCCATGAGTCGTCATCAACAATAAATTAAAATATATTTTAGTGCCAATATGTCAATTGTGGCTGCCAACTATGTCAGTTATGTCAATTGTTGCTGCCAATTAAGTCAATTATGTCAATTGTTGCTGCCAATTAAGTCAATTATGTCAATTGTTGCTCGGATGACAATTTTAATTCGACCCACGAATATTCGAATCCATTTCACATGGGTTGGATTTTTTTAAGTGGTAGTGGATGATAGGTTGGATGGGTCTTAAAAAAGTAAATTCATATGGGTTGAGTTGGATTCGAGTTATATGTACAAAACTCGCTTAGAACCTGACCCGACCCACCATGTAATTATTTATAAAAATTTCTATAACTTAATGTAAATTTTTATTATTATTATATCTAAACTACTAAGTTTATTTTTAAAAATTAATAATTTAGTTATTATATTTAAATATTTCTATTATTTTATTTTACACGGTTCCGCAACATAATTTGCCTTGTTAACGCAGTTGGGCTCTAATGTAGCATCGGTGAGTACATTCACGTGAGCAGTCAAATCCTTATACCATGGACCTGAGTTCACAGTGCATTGTGGACCTTGATGTATGTGTATATGTCCAATTGTTATGTTATGGACTCGAATCCCCCTTGTAAGGTGGACCCAGGTTCAAAACGACGCAGCTTTGCGCATCTGGAATAACGGTGTCGTTAGTGACACCGTTTCCTCAACCAATGATATTTTTTTTTTGTGAATATAAAGTTCAAAAATTGTTAATATAGATTCAAAAATTGTGTTATACTGTTGATATAATTGTGAATATAGAGTTCAAAAATTGCGAATACAGAGTTCTGTAATTGTGAATATAGAGTTCTGTAATTGTGAATATAGAGTAATAGAGATAAAAAATTGTGTTATACTGTTGATTTACTTGTGAATATTGAGTTCTGTAATTGTGAATATAGAGTTCAAAAAGTGTGAATATAGAGTTCCAAAAGTGTGAATATAGAGTGCAATTTTTATTTTATTTTATTTTTTAATCCAGACGGCTCGTTTTGAAGTAAAACAACGTCGTTTTGGACCTGGGTTCACCCCGCAAGGTGGACCCAGGTCCACAACATAATTTGTCGTATGTGTCTTGTGTTGTAAGTTTTTGCTTCTTATGTTACGAAATTATGTATCTTAAGAGTAGGAATTTTGTACCTAAAACAAATTAGTAATTGTATTTTATATTATGAATTTATGTGTAATGATGTGTTGTGAAATTTTAAGCCTATGATTCTATGAACACAAATTATATACCTAAATTAGATTTGAAAACTAAGTAGTTAAATATGTAACATGCATGTGTTTGTCTTGTATTGTAATTTTTTGTGTCTTATGTTATAAAATTTTGTATCTTTAAAGTATAAATTCTATATTCAGGATACATAATTCTATGTGGAAACTGTTCCATAAATCCATAATATAAATCGCCCGACCAGTCTTGACCCTTCAAACCTTGTAAGAAAGACAAACAATATCTCAAGTCTTTATCCCCAAGTAGCTCCTAATTAAACTCTTCAACTTGTGATCTTAGCTTAGCGTCTAGAGAGAAAATCGATCATTCTACCTTTGGAAGATTTATATCTTAGCTCTACTACTTCTATCTTCGAAATCTAGCTTTTTAAAAGATTATTGAGAATGCCGAGACCTTGTGATCTAATGGCTCCAAGGTTGGACTCTTATATAGGAGGTTGTGCACTACTGGAAATTATGGAATTTCCGACTACCTGAAAGTGATCTTAAATCAAGTTGATACCAAAAAGTGGTCGAAAATAGCAACAAAGGTTTTTCTGGATACCAAAAGTGGTCGGAACAAGACTTTCGACTTGATTTAAGATCACTTTCAGGTGGTCGGAAATTTCATAATTTCCAGTAGTGTTGTGTGTTCGAGCCTTAGTAGAGGTGGTACTGTGACACCCCGGAAATTCAACCTTTAAACCCAAGTTACAATCAAGGTTGGACTCTTATATAGGAGGTTGTGTGTACGAGCCTTAGTAGAGGCGGTATTGTGACACCACGGAAATTCAACCCTTAAATCCAAATTAATTATTTAATTAATTTCCTAATTTCCCTTACAATCTTTCTTGTAATTTAGCTTTGAAGTTAATTAGGGGATTTAGTTTGACCCAAATCCCTTAGCCTTTTAAACATGGTCAATGGATTGGACCTTATGCTATAACCTTTGCACTCTAAGCCTTTACTTAAAAAGAAACCTTTCTAGCCTTAAACCCAAATTATTTATTTAATTAATTTCCTAATTACCCTTACAATCTTTCTTGTAATTTAGCTTTGAAGTTAGTTAGGGGGTTTAGTTTGACCCAAATCCCTTAGCCTTTTAAACATGGTCAATGGTTGGACCTTATGCTATAACCTTTGCACTCTAAGCCTTTACTTAAAAGAAACCTTTCTAGCCTTTATGTGGAAAGAAGAGGCCCTTTTATGGTCATTTCACCATTCCTAACTTGAAACCCAAGCCACTATATCTAGTCACACTCACCCTAGCATTCCCACACTTAGCCAAAAACTCCCTAAACATTTTAGCTTGTTCTTCAAGCCACCATAACTCTCCCATCCTACCCAAAGAGTTCTTCATCTTCTTCTACCTAGAAGACCATCAAGTTGGCACCTTTCTTCATCACCAAGTCTTGGAGGGGTAAGTAATAGGAGTTTGAAATCTTATTCCTTGGTTTTGTATCTTCTTTATCTAAGTTTACTCTTGTGTTTGTTGGGTCTTTGGGTCCTTGTGTTGAAGATCACTTGGAAGGAGACTTGCAAGAGTAGGCTAGGGAGTTGGAAAAGGTTGGATAAGCTAAGGAGGTAACCCATGTCCTACAAAACCTATTTCTCCTTGCTATTATGATTTCTTGATGTTCTTGAGTGGTGAAATGCATATTCTTGTGTTTATGCTTTTGTAGAGCTTGTATCTAGGGTTATTTGATGCTATTTGTTGAGTTATTCCTTGTATTCAAGTCCCTTTTGTTGTTGATGTGAGTATTTAGGTATTTGGACTTGAATTTGTGCATTCTTGAAATTTTTCCCGAAGTTGGAATTTCTTCTGCTAGTGCGGTACCAGCGGGGGCCTGGCGGGCACTTCACCACACGCCAGTACCACCCGCGGGTACATGGGTTGATTGACGGGGGTTCGGCGGGCAGTTCACCACCCGTTGGTACAAGTGGGGATTTTTGGCGGGTAGTTTGCCACTCGCTGAAACCACCCACTGGTATGATGGTTTTTTGCTTCCGCTTTGTTGATCTATTGTGTACTTGTGTGTCTTTATTAATGTCTCATAAGTCAATAGTGATTTCTTAAGTATCTTTTGGTAGGATTTGGAGTCTTGAATCTTGGTTGTAATCCAATATTGTTATTCGTTGGATTCAAATGAAGTTTGTGTTATTCGTATGAGCCTTTGTGGCTACCTTGTTGGCTTGCATGCTAGCTACGTTGTTTATGTGTACTAGTATGTAATTTCCTTGTGATAACATATTGATTCTTGATTGAATTGGTACTTGAGTCTATCTATTCATTGTAATCCTTTGATTGGAATCCTTGATATCGTTGTGTAGCCTTTGGAATATCTTATTCGTATCTCTTTGGTGAATTCTTTTCATTGTGATCTTTCATTGTGAACTTGTACATTCGTTGTACCCTATCCTTGTTGATTCTTCGATTGAGCTATTGTTTGAGCTTATCCAATGTGATACACAATTCGTGTGGAATCTATGCTTTGCCTTGTATCTCTAGATTCCTTGTGTATTGACTCTTGTTGTGTTGATTGAGTTGTTGTGATGGACAATGGGGGCTTTACTTTTACCGGGATTCGAGATAATGGTATATTTGAATGGGGACTAGATCCCCGCGGATGTTACTGAATCGGGACTTCGAGTCCACGCGAAAAGAATGTATCGGGTCCTCTGACCGCGCGGAATCCATAATCGGGACTTAATGTCCCCGCGGAAATCTCTAATCGGGTCTACGACCCTGCAGAATCCATACTAGGGTCCTTTGACCCCACGGTACATATTAGTTCTAGGCCCTCATCCTGTCCACTTGATTCGAGTCGTTTGGTGACTCCGCGGTGAATGACTTGGTTTGGCTAAGTCCTTTGTGGATTTGGAACCTTGTCGGTAATTGATTGATTGTGATACTTGTTGAGAACCACTTGTTAACAATTTTGCATACCTTACCATATTCGTTATCTCTTGATTCGTTATCTCTATTTTTTGAATGGATCTATATCGTTGATTCGTGGTTGTGAGTGGTATTGTTGATTACATTACTTGTTTGATCGGCGTATTATTTCTATTCCTCGTGATTTACAAAGCTAGAGTTGTTTAGGAATATACTTATGTATTCCCAAGTCTCAAAATGGTTTTTAGGTATAAAGTATAAATATTAAGTATTGTAACGCGTTGGAGTAGGTTACTTAGCAATTTTCGCTAACTGTTGTTATACCTTACGTTTCAGGTGCTTAATTGGTTCGAGAGCGCGGTTAGTTGGAGCCGGCTTAGACTCGTTTCCCTTCTCTTTAGTTTAGTTGTTTTGGCCTGCGAGCCCTTGAACATTGACATTTTGGATAGTGTTTTTGTAAAGCCTGTGCAACTAGTTTTGGAGAATCTAGCTGTGGCATAGCACTCCCAAACTTGGTTGTTTAGCTTCCGCGTAGTTTTTAATTAATGGTTAGACTTTCTACTTATCTTTAAGTTTGAGTGCTATGTTTTATGCTTAAGTTTCGAGGGTGTTAAAGTTGGTATCAGAGCCTAGTTTAATGCTTCCAGAAGTAGACTTTAAGATGTTAAGCTTGAATCCTAGGTGTTTAAGTACCTAAGTTATAGGAACCCTAG